CCCATGTAGCCGAGACAGGCCTGCAGACCCCATTCCTGAAACCCGCAGCCTGATCGAAATAAAAGCTGAGATCTAGACCGAAACGCCGTACAACCCCATCCAGAACATGGCTCTGACTATGGGCGTCGCCATGTTACCGGAAGTGGTAAACATGTTACCGGAAGTGGCAAAACGAGAGAAAATATGATGCGGAGAAGGTCGTGAGGGCTAGAAGCCAAGACTTAGTATCTCTTTAAGATCCTTTTTGGTAGGGAGGTGAAGAGGAAAGACTTGTATTGGTGCAAGTAGATCGCTTGTTAAGTAGATCGACTGCGTTTCATAATTAGCGGTAAGACCCCTTCTTATTTGTGCTACTATTTCTCCGTTTAGTGTACCTAAGGAACCGCTGGGATTCCGTCACCAGAGAAATTAGTAGCATTAAGACTGATCCGGACATCCGGGCGTGCTTGCTGCCATGACGACATTTCTGCGACCAGCCGTGCGGCCGCTCCTCCAGCTCCCCAGTCGCTCCGGGCTTGTTGCAGGCAAGTGGTGCCCGGTTCTGGGAGTAGACGAGATAGGGTTCTGAAGCATCATGCTCCTCTGACTTCATCCTTTTCTCTCTTTCGTAGCTGTGCCCCTCAGGGCTAGGAGCCATGGCGCTGGCCTTCTCTATCCCGAGCACATCCCCACCTCCCCGCTGCAGAAGGCGCTGCTGACCGCGGGTTCGGCCGCAATGGCCCTTTACAACCCCTACCGCCACGGTAAGGCCGCTTGGACTGGCGACTCCGGCGGCGGGGTCGTGACGCGCACCCTTCCCTGGCAAACTTGCGAGGGTCACAATACCTTGAGTAAGCTAGAGGACAGACTAGCAGAACCTTCAAACAAACTTGGATGCACCTTATAATCCCCGGAACATTTTATAAAAATAAAATTGGCCTACGTGCCAACCCTAAACTCACCCGAATCCGAATCTGCCTGGTAGAGCTGAGAGGAAGGAAGAATGAAACCTGGGCGTCTGCCCTTTTACTCTTGTTTCTCGTGGAAGATGCTGCCATGCAGCCACATAGAGAACTTTTAGAATTCTTTTGGTATAATTTTTTCTTGATTTTCATATAATAATACCTTTACAGTATGCTTCATCCATATACATTGATTTATACAATCTTTCATTTACGCGTGGACCAGTAACAGAAAGATTGGTAGTTCTTGCCCACCCTGGGGCACCGTGCAAGAAAGATCTGATGATAGACCTTTTTTTTTTCTTTCAACAATTGAAAGTTTACAGAACCCAGTATTGTTCTGACACACATGGAGTCTCCAGGAGTTGGAATTTACTCTAAGGCAAATGATTCTGTTGAGTTACAGCTTTCCACTATGAAGTAAACTATATGCAATCAAGAACTGTGACTGACTGATGACCTTACTCAGCTCTTGTCTGCCGCTTTTGGATAGTGCCTCTCACATAATACAAACTCAGTAAATTGCTGACTAAATGAAATAGAGCTTTTAACATTGTTGTACTATTTATCCTTTAGTGCCTTTTTTATCCCAAGATTCTTTAGTGTGGGAAGTACTATTACTCCTACTAATAAAGAGGAGAATACTAGCTGTGCCTTGAGTACTTATTTTTACTGCCCCCTGTGCTAAGTGTTTTTGTGCATGGTTTTCTTTTTTTCTCTTTTTTTTTTGCGGGGGGGCATGTTTATGTACCATTGAGTCTGATCTGACTGGCACAGGAGGAGATTGCCCTTCCTCCAGTGGAGCATCTGGTGGATTCGAACTGCACGCCTTGGGGATTGTTGCAGTGCAGCTTCTTGCCACTAGGCCCCTAGAGGTCCTGCATGCTTTTCTTGATTTCACATTGTTGTTGTTGATTGCCTTGAGTTGAGCATGGCTCATAGTGACCCTATGAACAAAAGGCCTGAAGCCTTTCTATAACTCTCGACATTTACAAAGTTCACAGAGTTTCCGTAGGCATATTGTTTAGGAAGTGGATGCCACTCCTGCTTCCAATGATTTCACGTTAGCCCTATATAGAAAAAGTGTTCTTTGCATGAAATAAATTAGAAGACTGAGACATGTGAAACTGTTTGCACAATATCACCAAGATCTAAGTGATAGGCTCAAACCCAACACTTTTAATGACATAATGCTATCAGTTAAGTTTTCGAAGGATTGACATGAAAATCTGTTGTCAAAGGCTGATTAGCATTGCTAATGATAAATATTGATATATTAACTTCTTGGTGTATAACAGAAACAAATTATTTGTTAAACATAAGTCCAGGTAACTAAAGGGTATTGTCCGTATTTTACCGTGTAGGGAATAAATAAGGCTCAGGCCAAGCCAGGTAACTTACTTAAGTTAACATCTATCGTCTATGCCCATTTCTGTCCTTTCAGACATGGTTGCAGTTCTTGGGGAAACCACAGGACACCGCACCCTAAAAGCCCTCAGGGACCTGATGAAGAGGGATCCAGAGGGTGCCCAGATCCTGCAGTAGGTCTCTGGTTTGCCTAGAGGATTGAGGCTATGCTCTAGGCATCCTGATCTCTCTGGAGTCACACTGTATCAGTCCTATTCCTGTAGGAAACTTTTCTTTCTACAAAAAGTGGCTGTGAATGGCTGCACAGACTGGGCCCTACACTACTCCATTTTGCCATTCATCTATAAACCATTGTGAGCCTCAGATTGTGCAATATGGTTGGGGGCTTTAGCCAATTTCCAGCCTCAGAAACTAAGCTCAGATAACACATCAGCTGTTCCCTTCCCTTGTTTGCCCTTTGTAAGTACCCTAATCACATCTGCCTGATTTCCTGCCTAAATTGGGCCCCAGCCCCTTAGTTTGTGATAATCTGCTCTAGGGTTTGTGACCCCCCTCGCTTCCCTCTGCTCCCCATCCCTCACCACCTTGTAGCTAGACTTTTCACATGCCTTTATGAGCATGTTTCCAATACTGAATCCTATTTTCTGCCTTGCAGAGAGCGGCCCCGGATCTCACTGTCTACCATCAACCTGGACAAGCTCCAGAGCCTGCCTGATGGTTCTTTTGGCCGAGAGTATCTCCATTTCCTGGATGTGAATGTGAGTGTCTGGCTCCTGTGCAGCTGGCCAAAAGCAGGAAGAGCGGAGGGTTTGGCATAGGAGTGACATCTGAGAGAAAGAGGAGCTCTGAGCTGCTACCCTGAGCAGGAGAGCTTTTCGTTTCCATTTCTTGTGCCAAGGCTTTGTTATTTTCTATAGGATAGGCAAATGGTCCAGGACTATTACTCTTAAGTTTTTTTATAAAAAAAGTTTTTTATTAATCAGGGTTTAGTAACCTCTTGCTAACCGCTGGGCTTATTCGTGATCTCACTGAATCCTCCTAACAAACTTTTTAAGTAAGTTTTTTTATTATCATCTTGTAGTAGAGCTCCGGTGGCATATATGCAGCGTGTTGTGCTGCTAACCAAGAAGATAGGCCGTTTGAATCCACCAGCTGCTCCACAGGAGAAAGATGAGCAGTCTCCTTCCGTAAAGATTTATAGCCTCAGAAACCCAGTGGAGGGTCACTGTGAGTCAGCATTGACTCAGTGGCAGTGGGTGATAGATGATGAAACTGAGACTCTGAGCAATTTTAGTAACGTGCTGATTTCACACAGCCAGTGTTGTAAAGGGGGCAGTGTTGAAACTGACACCATGTTCTTAACTTCTGTACTGTATCCCTATTTCCAAAGATAGTGCTATCATTAGGGTACATAAAGGTATGATGCTCTTTAGCTCTTGGATGGAAGGATTAGGGTAAAGGTTTCCAACTTTGAGAATCTTGTTGTTGTAGTCAATATCTGCCATGTCTTTGCCCTTTTCCAGGTGCCAGGGCTTTGAAATGAAGTAGACAGGAGATGGAGCTCTGGTGGTATGGTCCACTGTACGTTGTGCTGCTGACCCAAAAGCTGTGCTTCGCTGGTGATTAGAATCCACCAGTGGCTCTGCAGGAGTAAAATGAGCAGGCTCCTCCCACAAGATTCACAGCCTCTGAAATGTCAGTGGAGCTCTGAGTAGGAACTGACGTAATGGCAGGGAGAGATAATAATGGACCTTGCCCTCAGGGAGCTTATATTCTTGTTGATGGGGAGGAGAGAAGCAATAAAACAATAAGAATTAAAATGTCATATGAAAGTTCAGGCAGAAATAAGTACTGAGTTCTTTCTTAGTGTGTAACAGGCACTGGTCTCCATGAATAGGCTACTGGAAAAGAAGCAGTCCAAAAAAAAAAAAGCCTGCCTTTGTAGAGTGTACTTTCTTGCAGATAGATTCTATGAAAAAGATAGCTTTGTAGAGTGTACTTTCTTGCAGATAGATTCTATGAAAAAGATAGTATAATAGAAGATAACTTTGGTGCAGAGAAGATACGGTCACTTGTATTTAGGGCAGTCAGGAGAGGCCTTCTGAGAAGGAAACCTGGAAAACAGGAAGAAGGCAACTTTATTGGGAGCTGGAGAAGAGCATTCTGAACAGAGAAGAGCTCACAGCTCTATATCACACCAATCTCTGGTTCTCTGCTGCCACCACTACTGCTTTCTGGACTGTAGTGTCACCACTGTCATCCTATGTTGTCTAATCCACACAGGAATCACAGATCCAAAGGATATGCTCCAAAGATGGCTGTGTGTTTAGGAAAAGAGAAAACAGCCAGTGTAGTTTTAGAGAAGTAGGTGATATAGAAGCAGCTAGTGAATTTGGACTCATTCCAGAGCCAGGTTTTACAAGGCCTTTTAGGTCTCAGAAAGGAGTCTCTTTGGTAATAATAGTACTGGAAAGCTTTTGGATGGTTTGAGCAACACAATAGCATGATAGTATTTACAGAAGGATGTTAAGAATGAACTGGGCCACCTTTTTTTTTTGCCTTAAATACATTGTTATCTTTAATTTTTACATGAGTTTTCCTTTTATTTTTTTTTTTTTTGCTTCATGCTTCTGTGCTATTTATTTATTATTTTTTTTTTATGGAAAAGTAAAAGAAAAGATTCTTTCATTGTTTTACAAACCCTCCCCCAGGTCCCCTCCACCATGTAGCCCTCGCTCTAGTCTCCT